GAATATTTTATTCAATACTACAATAGCTCAATGAATCATCACATATCCAAATGTATTAACACTTCAGACAGTTTTTTTTTTTGTGGAGTTTCCGGCGACAGTAGTTTCGGAATTGTCGAGCGGAAGAGGTCGGGGGAAAATATAGAAAGGGAATGCTAGACCATTGGGGTGAGATTGGACCCTGGCAAGAGACCATCAATTTCACCGCCATCACATCCGATCCATGATGCATCATTGGCTCCCAAATTTTCACTCCATGTTACTTTAGAATCAATATCACGGAAGACGATATAAAAAAATAACAGTAAAAGTATAGTCTACTATTGCTGAGTAAGACCCAATACTTTCTCTGCACTTAGTACTTATCCATCAATTACTTGTTTGGTTCGCGTAAGTAATTGAAATTAATTATAACATTTGGGCCAGTTCAAGAAACATTAAACTGCGTGGAGCAAAAAATGGCTGTCTGTATTTCGGATAATTATTATTTCAATGGCTTTATGTTTAAATTGTTTAAATTCTCCGAAATTAGAAATCAAATAATTCGTCAATGGGGAATTGTTAAAAATTTCAAGCTTTCAATATCATAGACTTTTGGATGAAATCTCGGAATAATATCGGGTACGAAAGCCTCAGACCTAAAATTTCAAATTTTTTCACTTGAAATTGTAAGTATAATTTTTCCACTGCGTAGGCATTCAGAATGCCAAAAAAATGCATTAATTCCTCAAAATTAATAACAAGTTCTTAAAAATTACAATTCTGTTCTCTGTCAGTTGTCAGGGCTTTCTACCCGTCCACGCACATTAAGTTTTTTTCATTTCTCGCAGAATATTTCCTTTCCTAGTTTCTCTAAAAGCATTTGAAAATTTGTTCCTCCCGAAAATCCACAAATAAAAAAAAACCTACGCTCAGCCAACAGAATTCTCTTATTTAACTTTCCTTTCGAGTCCAAGCGTGACCCTCCCATCGTTCCCCCATTTTCCGCTCGAACTCATTCGAAAAAAAGTAAAAAAGAAAAAAAAAATAACCGGAAAATCCCACGAGTTGAATCGAAGGTCATTTGACACTATTGGTGGGGTAATTCGTTTCGGGGATGATCTGATAAGACATGACCACATATGGTCAATAGAGAATAGGGTGAGCCGAGTTACTAGCCAAGTGGGATGTTTATCGCGAGCATGACCAGCGTCTTATCTTTGTGAGACAGATACCTTGCGGAGATAATACACCAAATAACATTGGAAATTGATGACACGCATCAGCGAGCGTTGCAGCCGCGCCTCAATTGAGAGAGAAAGCTCTTTTCCGTAGAATCGTTAAAGCCGGAAGTTTTTGCTTCATTTCAAGAAATCAATACTCACGTATCACTATAAGATCATGTGTGGATGTCTACATTGAAAGGGACCACTTTATTACTATAGAAATATGTGGACGTATCCTTTATTGCATTTGGATCATTTCCAGAGATTTGCACGATTTGCTAGATTAAAAAATCCCGAAGCTATCTACAACTTGCAAGTGAGAAAGCCGAAACCTTATTTCGAAAAAAACCGATGAAAGTTCGAGATATTAATATCTTTCCTTCCATTTAAAGCCGGGATATATGATGATTTAAATAAATTAATAATTTGGTCTTCTTTAAAAATGAGGATGCAATGTAAAGTGTCACCATTTTGCGCCGTATCGCGTAGCTTGTGCAAATGATTTGAAGAAAAATTATAATGTATACATAAAAATATTTTTTTTAGTTGGGTGTGTATTATAAATTTTATTAACTGAAATCAATGTATTTATTATTTACATTCATTATTGGATTGAATGTGGTGTTGTAGGTTTTATTTATCCAATTCATATATAGGCACACAAAGCGCGCCCCGAGTGCTATATAGGACTCTAACACTCCCAAAAATAAATGTTTCATTTAAATAATTGAATTTTTCGGAACAAACATATAGCTATGGCGAATTATGTGATCAAACGGAAATCTGGATCGAATTGGGAATTATTTATTGTCCTTTTTTTTACAAGTTGCAAAGGTTTTATTGGTGAAAAAAATTGTTGTTTTATTGATGCTCTCATAGAATTAAACCCAAAGGACAATGACAATGGAATGGAAAAATATGAATTATAATGTGACACTGAAAATGGTACTAATGATCAAATTCAAGTTTTCATTAAAAAATCATTATTACTGAATATGATAAAGCAATTTTCTTCAATTTTTAAGATAAATTAGAAATACGGTGATGGTTTTAGATTACAATTATATTCGGACATACAATTGGGAATCTAGATTAAACATCAGTTTTTAGTGGTGTATGATGATCATGGTGAATATTGATATATATTTCTTTATCTGACACCACAGAAGTATTGATAGCTCATTAAAATGTTCTCTCTTTTTGTTTTACCGGCGATAGAAAAAAAGAGGTGAAATTCTGACGACAAAGAAACATAGAGCTCGCTGGGAAGTTGACAAATTATCCATATATTTGCCCCCACCGCCCTGCGAATGAGGAATAGTCGAGAGCACCAAGAAATCGTAAATATCGGAATGTCGCCGCAGAAAGTCCAGAGTGAAATAAAACTAATATATTATTTGTAGCTATCGGTTGTGTCCAACTCTCCAATCATCATTCGGTCACTTACAGAAAAGCAACCTTTTCATCCAGTTGTTCTGGCAAAACGCGCCAAAAGTCAAATACCCTCTACCATGACAAACAGAGAGTAGGAGCATTTCGTATTCCTCGAGCATCGGCTTTATCTCCCCGGTTTTTATTGCATATAGTTTTGCGAGGGAATATGTTCCATTCATATTTCATATTTTCCCCAGAACACAATGGACCTTGGCCACTCGTGTTTCCCCTCTCATGTTTTCCCTTTTTCCCTTTTTCCTTTTTTCCTCTTCGCGTTGACCATTGGCGTTGTCGGTGCCGTATAAACGAAAATTGCCAAGATGAAGATAACTCTATGCATCTTCCCTCCTCCATTTTTTCTTGATGTATTACTGGGGGAATGCTACGTTTTTCACCCCAATTGTGAAGAATTAATGAAAAATAAATAAATGGTAAATACATTTAGAGGATAAATGAGTCGAGTAAGAAAAAAGAATTGATAATAATATGTGACTGTGGAGCGTGCCATAAATACATCTAATAGATAATGAAATTTAATTCTAGCTTCCGAGGGGTTCTTACACGCAATTTGACGCATCACAGAATCATGACTAGGCAGAGAGGATGGAACCTTTGGATATTTTATGGCTAGTAAGCCCGAGTCAACATAACTCATGGCTCGTTTCCACACGTTTTAGGACTTGCCTTTCACAACAATTTTCCAGGATATCCAATTGGGACAACCTCTGTAATGAAATTCGTTCATGGATAATTGCTTTTTTGTAGCTTACGTACGAAAAACATGTCTAATTCCTGTGACAGACTAAAACAGCCACTAACGATCTTGTTACTATAGGTGCCATCAACCCCTAATAAATTTCCAATCAATTAACGTATCCTGCAACTTAATAAATTTCTCAACTTTACTCTTCTCATGTATTTCACTGTTTGGAATAATCATAATTGATATGAATTAAATTTATTATTCTTAGATATCGAGGGAGGGATTTTCCTCGTTTTATGTCGCCATAAAATTGCAAATTTTCTTCGGTGGCAGCTCTCGATTTGGAATACTCAACTGCAATTGGTTGGAGTTCACGATTTCATGTCGACGTAAAACCAACAAAATATCTCTCCCGGTTCATCTGAGTGTGATCTATTCCATGCAAGTAAAATTTGATCGAGTTCAATCATCTTGACGAATTTTTAACTATTTTCTATCCAATCCAATACAATGAAATAGAAATTACTAATAATAATGAAAAAAAATTAACCATAATTCAGGCGATGAATATACTATGACAATAATTTCAATACAGCTCACACGTATGGGGTGTTATGTTATTTAAATAATTAAATACAAATATTCAAAGTATAAGTTATAAATATTTATAAATAATATTTCAAATATTTATAACTTATACTTTAAATATTTTCATTTATATATATATATATATTATATATTATGTTTTAGATATTTTTTTATATTATATAATTTTGAAAATTTAAATTAAAAAAACATGCATATATTTTGATATCCATAGCTTAGCTTCCGCCGAAAAAAGCTGACAAAACAGTTACATCCTTTTTTTTAAAAGGGACAACAACCTTAAGATGTCCGTTTTGCCCCTGTCTCACCTATATACATTTTTTAAAATTCTTTTTATTACATAATCCTCGAATGCACTTTATCTCTGATGTAAGTACATTGAACAATTCGTTCTGAATAAAATTGAGGAAAAATTCAAGCTAAAATTCCCTCCAGATTAATAATCATAGGTCATAAAAAATTATCGGGCACGTAACGACATTTCATCTTGATCTGGGGAAAAAATTTTGAAGGTAAAAAAAGATCAAGTAGAGCAGGTAATGAATTCAGGTGCACTTTAACAGGATTTCCGTGTGTGATTTTTCCTCTATTTTTTCCGCCTACCATTAAAAAAAAACCCAGCCAAAAATTCTGGACGAAGATAAAAAAAGGAACGTCAACAGAACAAAAAACACACTTTTTTGTTAAAAAATAATGCGAAAAAAATGGCACTCACCCGTTTTTCCGGTGATGATATTACAGTATTTCGGAAAAAAAAGAACATTTACCTTGGGAATAATTAATTAAGTTGCCTTAATTGGCGAGTTTTCTTTGGATGATTGAGGATCGGATAACGAATAATAGGATGATGGAAAAGACCCATAAGTAATAACACGTGCATACATGAAGGATGAGGGATCAAGGACGATCAAGACATTCGACAAACCAGCAAGTGGCGCCTCTCGACGGAGTGAAATAGAACTACCGAGGCTTGAGAATGCCTTTGCTGATCTCGAATACATCCATCAAATAAAAATTCCATTACTAATTATGCCATTGCTACACGTTAACGAATTAATCAGAATACTCCGGTAAAATGTACAATAATGACACTAAAAGAAATAATTTTTCGAATACGTACGTCATGTTAGATAGTTATTGGTGGATAACGATTTGCGCGCGCATCAGTGTCGTTAGAAATTTTCTGATGTAAACGATGTAAATAAACGCGGGTTCCACAAGCATGGTCATGTGCTTCGACCCACTAAATACCGGCATAACAAATTAACACAGAAGAGGAAATAATTAATTGAATCAGGCTGTTTCCAAGTGCTTCCCGAGATTGAAACTTGTTGGTGGACGAGTACCAGGTAGAAGTTATACATTTAACCTATCTTTTGAGGTTATTTTTTTAATTGTTGACAATTGTTGGTTATCCTTCCGTAAATATCTATTAAATCGGTCGATATAACATATATCAAACATCCGGAATACCTTTTTTGATAAACTTTTGTCGATTATTAGGATAATTTATCAAATAGAATTAGAAATCTACGCAGTTATTTATTTTCATTTATTTTGGTTGTGACAATCAGTGTACGGAAAAATTCAGAAATTATGTGCCCATCTCACTGGAGTTTCTTGATGAAAAATAAATAAAGTCCCATAAAAATAAATTAATTATGAAACTATGTTGACTTTCAATCAAATCTAAATATAATTTATCGGTGAATAAAACATTATCTGACAAGTGTGACCCCCTAATTAATAACGTAAATTAGTAGTTTACACACTGGCAGGTTTGTTGATTCTCCAGGTACTCCGGAGACTGACAATATTTAGAGACGATATTAAACAATTTATTTGTTATTGAAAACTTGGTGAAGAATAATATTATTTAAAATTATATGCTACAGCTTTCCGGTCTCTCTCACCTCACTGATAAATTATCACTTGAATCATATTCCTTTCATTATTCTTTCAGATAGTATCCAGATTTAGTCAGAAAGATAAGAAAACTAATGCAATGGAATTAGTGGAACTAACATCAGATGATGATTCGTTCGAAAGCCCAGTTTTACTGCCAAAGCCGTCGACGGCAAAGGGTAGTTCGAAATCAAGGAAAAAAACAACTGAACAACACTTTATCGAGATTATGACCTCATCTGAGGAATCAGATGGGGGCACAAGTGAAGATTTCAAGCCGACTTTCGTTGGCAAAGAGAATATGCCAATAATAAAATCTACATCCTCACCAAAAATCATTGGACTCGGACCAGAAGATAGTGCGCCAAGTGATGCCTCTCTCCAGACTAATCATTCTGAAGGGATCGAAGTGCCTGCAAATCTTCAAGGTCAGGCATACTCAAAACCTGCACCTAGAAGATTCTTTCGTTGGGGATCTGGTGAAGAAGAATCAAGCTCGATGTTCAAGAAGAGACCTTTAACGAGCCCAAGTGTAAATGAAGCTAAAAGACGAAACATTGAGTTTTATGACGTTGATAACGCTGACAGCATTAGCAATCCACTGGCCAGCTCTGATGGTTGTTGTGATGTCGATCCTCCTGTTCCAATTGTTACTCGTCACCACAGATTAGAAATTGCTGGGGTAAAAGTGGATTTTCCTTTGAATCCCTATCCAGCTCAGAAAGCAGTTATGAATGCGGTAAGTACTCTATGAATTAATACTGTATTTTCTTATCCAGTAGAATCATTATTTTTTTCTTCGACACCCCGAGACAAGTCTTCAAATTAATAAAGGACAGGACTGTAGAGTAATAAGTTATTGAATATTATTAATAAACAGGAATAATTAACATTTAATATAAAAGTTCAATGTGGCAACCTTTAGGTAAGGATTTTAAATGGATCAGATACTAAAGTATTTCATGCGGAAAAATAGAAGAGATTAGATTAGAATTGATTTTAGAGAGAGAGAGAGATAAAGATTCAAATTGACCGGCATTTCTGTGTTTATAATACTAAAAAATTATAGATCGCAATCATTTTGACATTTTTTTTTCCTGGTTAAATCAATGCTGTGACTGCGACTGCGGGTATAGCTGAAAAAACGGCTGTCATTTATTTTTTTGTACTGCTTCTCACGATTTCTCGTCTGGAAATTGGCACTACATACTTCCCAAACTCGAAAAATTGAAAATCCCCACGGACACATATTATTCGAACTATTGGGATGAGGTTTTTTTGACTCGTGTGGTTGGTCAGCTCTCGCCTTCGACTCGAACGACCATTCCACGCGAGTAAAAAATACCATCCCAACAGCTCGGAATCGTACTGTATGATTTTGAAACGGGTGTTTGTTTTCTTGGGAAAAGAAGTTAATGTAATATTTAATGGAATAACTGGAGACGCCCTAAAGCAGAACTTTTTCATATAAATTCATGTACATTACATCATCTAAACATGTGCGTGACAAAAAGCGTTAATACCTCGCGTTACATTTCAATTTGATGAGTAGTATTTTTTCATGTTTAATTTTCAACAAAAATTATTTACAATCGATTGACTAATCTGTACATAGCAGTCTAAAAATCGCCTTTAAAATCACAATGCACTAAAATGTTAGATTCAGATATTTTCAAAATGACAAATATTTGCTATAAGAATAACAAGATCGTTAAAATCAGAAATGAATTAATTGATTTGAAATTCCAATTACGCTTTCAGCTTATAAAAGGGTGCAGAAACGAAGAGCACTCCTTGATAGAAAGTCCAACGGGTAGTGGAAAGACCCTCGCCTTACTTTGTGGAGCTCTAGCGTGGCAGGGCCAGTACGCCGGTGAGTACAAAAAAAAACTTCAACCAAATAAAAAATAAGAGTAGATAGCTAATAAGACAGTAACAGAATCATTGCATGCCATCACATTTATGGTTAGCATAAAGCTGTTTATAGAAATAGTAAGTAACATCACAACAAAGTTTACGTGAACTCGGAATTTCAATTAAATAACCAACGTTGACCGAGTTGTAAACGGCATATTACAAAAGTTAATTTAGCATGCCGAGGGTTTTTGCGAGGACAACAATAAAAGTGGAAACCTGAAACACAATAACAAAATGGAAAGGGGGTGAAATTACATTTGAAGAATAGCGAGTATAAAAATAAGAGAATTTTCGAAACGTAATGTCGTATAAGGTGATCCTAAGTCTTATCACTCATCTTCATAGTAATGCATTCCTTCGAAATTCTCGTTAAAACATCTTCGAGGAGATTCAACCATACCGCGTACTCATTTTTAGAGTTCATGTCTTTTCGTGGTCTCTTCAGGTACTGTCTCGTGACACTGCGTCGTTAGGACCTCTCTCATCCTCGTCTGGCTAGAGTCATGTTCTGGCTGTTCTTTTCACCACAAACCCGATTACCATCCGCACTATAAGATTCCGTTTTTTCCACTGGGAAATCGGGGGTAGAGCATAACGAAATCAACATTGAAAATCCAAATTAATGAGAAATTTGTTGTTTAAAAATTGCTAATTATTTCAATCACCGGGTTCAATTTTGTTTCGAAATGCAAACTGTTCTCCGGGATGTAATCTTGAGAAGAGTTTAGTGGATCCTTATTGTTCACACATTGGGAATAATTCGTATATTTTAGAGTAACGCCAGGAAATGTAAATTCAGACGAGAATACAAATTGGGACAGTATGATGGTACATCCCATCGAAGTACTATAAATACCATAAATATTCTTCAAAATAATATCCCACAAGTGGAATTAACTTCGATAAAATCGATAGTTTTAGAAATATCCAAATCAAGGTGAACTCACAATAAATTTCCGAAAAATCGTTTTTCTCGTGACAACCACAACCTCATCTAAGTTAATTAGATTTCCTCGTAAACAAACAGGTTAGGACTCAATTTGACCATAATTGCATGACAGCAACTAGCTCTAGCCATTAACATGAAAAACTGCGGAAATTTTTTTATTTCGACATGTTAAAATCGATCCATTATCGCTTATGATTTAGCAGATGCAATCGACCATGTAGAATATCTATATTTGAATATCTCGATGAGACTTTCTATAATGAATAACATGAGATAATGAATCTCTTTCGAAGTATTGTGGTTAGAAGCCTGAAATTCTAAGTAAAGTCACTTTTCATGAGGTCCAAATGTATTCATGAAGAGTCGGTCGAAATATGAGACTTGACGCGCAATAATTGGTGGGTAATGTGCGGAATGGCTCAGGTATTTAAAGAATTGGAGTGGGAGAAATGCGTAAACCCTGACACGGCTGTTGACCACCCCTACTCACATTTGCAATCAGACAAGCAAGAGGATAAACCAACAATTAGCAATTTCTTGCTTGTCATACCAATTTTAATTATCTTCCCATTTATCCTTAGCCTAATGGTTTGAATTATTATATCCAGTCTTCCACCATGCAGATATCGTATCTTATAAACGGACAATAATTGCTTTTCAATTGCTTCATCACAACTCTTGAACAATTCTATTTTATTTCAAATATATTATTCCAACAATACATTTCATAAATATCCATACACTATATAAAAATATATTTTTCTAGTTAAAATACTTAGAGTATGAAAATAAACACAAATTATCAACAACTCTTTGTCGATAGGGTTTAATTTATCAATATTAGCTTCAAGCTCAATTAGATAGTGATAGTGTTGGTTTTGAGAATTTAACAATTGCCTCACCACTTTCGATAGTAAAAATATGCTAGTCTTCTTCCTCACGCCTGTTGCACCTGTAATAGTACTAATTCTTATTATGATCACAACAACGCTTAACGACTTTCAAATTTATTGCGGTCTCCACTCGAGGGGGATTAGCATAAAAAATACGATGAAGGTGTTATCTTGACATCTACTCTTTAACGGACTTTATCTTTTAACCGGGCATAGTATGTCATATATTCTATCGGAACATGCAACGCTCTTCACAATCATAAAAAACCACAGACTTTTGAAAAACGGTTTTATCGTTAACGAATTAATGAACATGAAAAAATTGATTCCATCATTTGCAAGTGTTAATCATTACTCCCACTTGGAGAAAACGTGAAGAGAAGAAAAAACGGAATCATCAAGACTGATTGAGACCCGCAGTCAACCCTTTCAATCTGCCAATACCTTCGCGAAAAAAAACATGAGTAATAAACAAGTACATCCATATCTTCAAGCGTACCTTGTACTCATGTACTCTCCTACTCCATTAGCCACACCGCAATGCCAAAAATCAATTGCAGTATTATCCAGCAATTATCCTCAAATGCTGTTACTGTCTCTCATGAATATGATTCGCTCTAAAATCGAAAAATGACACCGATCTCCAATTCTCTGATGACCCCAACCCAAAGTTATCTCACCTGGACTATTCTTGCATGATATTAAAATAGCGAGCAAAAATTTGAATCCTTCGCCACAATATCCCTGATATTTCTAATGATGCAGCACCTGCTTAGGAATTCACCTACTCGTTTTCCCTTCGAAAGCAGCCATAAAGATATGGCCCTGTATTTTTGAGGGAATCGCGTGCAATTTCAGGGGACTCGTCAAATTAAACGTTTCTTTAACGTTAACGTCAAATTTGCGTGCGGAGTCCTATCTAAGGTTTTCGCTCCTCTTTCGTACTTTTGACGTTATTTCTTTAGTTTTCTTGGTTAGTTTGTTTTTTCTTACATTGTGGATAGTTTTTTCTTCATTTTTATGACTTGCTTTTTTTATGAGTAACAAGCAATGAGAGTTGGGGGAACAGGCGGCAACACACCCGGTAGCGGTGATTCCAAGTTCCCGTAGTTCCCATAGATAGTGAGGAAGAACTTGGGAATGGAGGGATTCAGGAAAGAGGGCACATCCCACACGCTTTTGTCACAGCATAATTCATATTCAGAGATGTCTCGAACATCACGCAATCCTCTCTTTCCCTTATGCCGCGGGTTTGTTGCTGAATAATAAAGTGCACAAAATCAATTGTCGGTGTGTGTGCGCTATCAAAAAGTGCTTTAAACTCGTGTAGAACTGCATCACGGTGATACCTTAGTTATCTACTTTCTTTCTCTTTCGTGTGGGGTTGGGGAAAGTCTTCGGCAAATTATAGTGCCACTCGTGTCTCAATCTTGGAGACGTCAACGTCTGTCATTGGGTCTAATTACTTTCTTCAACGAAAAAAAGGTATATAACGGTTGTCGCAGTTTTAATATATACATTTAAAGTGCCTCAGTTCATCGGAAAATGTCAATAACTATTAATTGAAAGTTTTTCAAAACTCTTAATGTTTGGACATCAGCCCTGATGGCTTTCGTTTGACATTTGGTTATTTTGAGGAAAACAATTTTTGGTAAAGTTTATGACAATTTTTTGCGCATTTCATTTAAAATTTTATGCTTCATGGAACTACAGAGTCATGTTGGAAATTCTTTACATAGAGAGACTCTTGACATTTCAATGCTACCTTAAATTATCAGTACATGAAGAGTCCAAAGAAATTGCTGCCGGAAATTTCATAATTTTTAATGATGTTAATTCACATGGACATACAGATTACATATGAAAAATACATATGAAAATATGTATAACATAGAATCCTGTGGGTAAAAATAATCTTGTTCCCGAAGTCTCAGATTATCAATAACAACTCCAATTCAGTAAATTCTAAATATTACAATTCGCAACGTGCAGGCTTTACCTCATATTTTATCGATTCCTTCACTAAAAGGAAGACAAAAATGATAATAATAATAAATAAATATGTTAGTATCGCAATGTGTAAGATCTCGTATGTGTAATAATTGAAGTGCTCTGTTCATTGGTCAGTGACGTATTTTGTGTGATCTAATTTTACACGCGAAATCCAAATAAACTCTTCATAAAATCAGATACATTAGAACTATTAACTATATCAGATAATTAGGTAGCATTCATGCAATGAGAGATCGGTTCTTTTAAATACGAGGTCGTCCGCGCATCCTCCGGGCATTTATTCATTCGAAATTTTTGGGATTTAGCCACGACGTAGTGGTAGCGGGTCGAATTCGTCTTACGGGTCTTGCCTTTACGGTGATTCGAGATTATTCGAGATATTTCGAGATATTTCGAGATCGATTTCCCTTCTCTATTGTATATTAGGACGATGCATGAATCCTTCTCGGATTATTTACAATAAATTATTGCCCTAAATTATAATTCCTCTGTCATGAACAAATCGGATGTACATCCATTGGGCTTTTTCCATTTCTTCTCCTGCCTTTGTTAAATAAAATATATACAACATCAATAACAGATAAGAGATTAGCACATTGCAATTCCGTATGAAATAATTACACATTACAAATCAGTGGATTATTTCTACGGATTAAAAATTCTGGAATGTCAGGAATGCTTTCATGGCGTATGGGCAACGAAGGGCCACCAATTTATTTATCATTTGTTCTCATACCTAGATCCGTGTTTGCGGTTTTTTTTTTCGTGTATTAGAAAATAGGTTATAATTGGGCAGTTTGGAACCGGCTACTAATAGAATTAGTAGAAATAGAAAGAATAGACCAACTCATAATGCATTGAGTAACGGCCGTATCTAATTCGTCGCATGCCTTCTGTCGCATGCCTTCTGTCACATGTTTTCACTGAAACTGCTGTTTTTTTTTTGTTTTTTTTTTCGAGGGAATCCTTGCGGTTCAACGCTAGTACTTGGAATAAATCAATTTCCAATTCGGAAGAACCATTTATAGAGTTGATAACAGATAGCAAATCAATTTTTATGACAGAGTTGGACGAATGGACGGATTTTTCTAATCATTCTTG